TTCATTTGTCCATAAAAAGATAGGAAATCTCCGAAATTTGGATTTTAATGAAAGACATCCAAGGTAAATTTCACTAACATTGAAATTTTATTGGATTATCTGTACTTATCTTTCGTTTTTCAAGTAAAATTAACAAGGAATTCAAAGCGTAAAAATGTTTGGCCATGAAACACTTTGTCGAAGAACTTTTCAAGAACAAAACTAGCCCCTGGGGTTGACAGTAGTGGGTTGTGTACATGTGACAAAATTCCTAAGTGGGACAGTACTAATGTCGAAAACAAAGACTCGTGCGAAGAAAAAGATGTAGTGCATTTCGATTTCATTTTTTACTTCATGGTTCCCCTTATGGGGGACATTGTCTTCATCTCGATGGAGAGAAAAGATTGAAGATTTTTTGCCCGATGGATTTTATTTTCCTCTTTCAGTTTTATCTAAATTGGGTTCCCTCTGCTATTTTTATTTTAATTTTATTTAGCATTTACCTCACATCAAATCAGTTTAAAAAAATGAAAAATATAAACAAATTACAAGCAGATGAGAGGTAAGGGATACCGTCATAGGTTTCCCCAATTACCTATTGGGAGCTCCGTTTTTAGGCAGTGCCTAAATATATATATTATGCTTCCTTTTAATTTGTTACCTAGCTACCACATTTCTAGCAACATGCCAAGAAGTAAAAGAGAGTTTCCATAAAGGTTCAAATCATAGGGCGAGGGCTTTCATGAAAATTCAAGCTTAACAGTCTCGAACTAGTTCTCAAGGTGTGGTCTGATTTGTATATGGTGCAACGTCCGCTTCGTTTATCCGCCTGTCAAACCATTTGTRCTCGTCTCAAGTATAATGATGGGCTGTCATAGGATTTATCTGCGAGTCGAGAACGTTGAATGTAGCGGTGGCGTGATTTTTTCTCCATGAAAATAAATAATTGCCTTAGGAGTGAATGATGTCACTACTTCAGTATTCTACTGAGTGCGAAAGAGGTCGAACTACTGGGCACAAATGAACAAAAAAAAAACGTCCTCGGTTATTATCAGTTCACTGAAAGGTCAATATTCAGTAGTGTTATTTGTTTTTCAGACTAATATGAAGCAGTTCCAAATATTTGCTATCCTAATGTATTTGGCAGCCACAAACTCTGGTTTAGTTGACCACAATAAGTCCACTTTGGCGTAACGTTTTTCCACATCAGACCGCGTGTCACTCATTAAGTATCATTTGCTTGTTTAAATGCTGCATGAGACGCGACACGAGTATGAATACAACTCAAACAAAGAATCTTATCAGTCAAGGGACTGACAAGTGGTTGGAAAGGGAAAACAATACACCCGTGAAGTGGATTTGGCCTGGCGCTGGCGACTCAAAAGGAAGAACCGAGATTTCAGAAATATCAGTTCGTTTATCTGCCGACCCTTGATGATTTGGAACAGATAACCGGACTATTTAAATTTTGTCTGGAT